GATCCCCACCCACCCCCCCCTTTCAGGATATTTCTAGATGTAAAGAACCACCTTTGTAACATTCGGCGAGGCAGACCAGTTTTTTTAAAAAGAGGGTTGGCTTCTGTTCTGGCACCAACACAGGAAGTTATGAAATTGTGGTTCTATGATAGTTGGGGAAAAGGAAGAGGGGCATGGAAACTGGCCCATATTCTTTTGCCCCTGATTCTCATTTATGGGATAAATGATTGAATGCCCCCCCCCTTTTGAAAGGCAATCTTACCAAAGTTTTAAGGAGACTTAACTATGGTGTCTAATTTCTAATGCTGTAGAAGCCCACTTAGATCAGATGACAGCTGTGCTGGAGATGTTTTTGAATGGTGTAAATATTGCAAGAATAGCTTGGAGTAAAGTAGATGGTTGCTTGCACTGGCTTTGATTAAGGTAAGTCCATAAAAGGCCTTTTGGTCTGGATTCAAAGGGTGAGGGAGATTTGGGACCTGTCTTTAAGTCCAAGACGTCTTTGCTGACAGGTGTAGTGTGGGGGCCTTACATGCTCTGAGTCGCTTCCCCCTTCCTGGCCAGAGGACTGCAGAGCCCCAAGTCCTAAACTCAATAAATAAACGCTTTGAGCCATCCATGGATTTTTTTCTTTCTTAAGAATTAAGATTACCTAAAACTTGTTCTGCATCATCTTACATTTGTATCTGGTTTTCTTCTGCAAACCCGGAACACTAAAACATCCATCAACTTCTGAATGAATGTGTTCTACATTTGTTAGGTCCACCCAATAGGGCTTCCTTCCTGAGCAGGGGGTTGGACTGGATGACCACCGAGATCCCTTCCCACTCTGATTCTATATTCCATTTAGTACAAGGCAAGGCAAGAAACTGGAAACTAATTAAGAAGAGAATCTAGAATTAAGGCGAATTGCCCTGAGAGTGAGAACCATTAACCGTGGGAACTGCTTGCCCCCAGAACTTGTGGGGGCTCCATCCCTGGAGGCTTTGAAGATGAGACTGGACGGCCATTGGCTGGGAATGCCACAGGGTCTCCTGCCTGAGCAGGGAGTGGACTCGATGACCTCCAGGGTCCCTTCCAGCTCAATTCTGGTTCTTTTTTTCCAATTTTTTTTATTTTTAAACATAAAAAACAACATAAAATTCTCATCCATTACATACAGCATGCCGTTTGGTTACAAGCGTTTTTTGCATCCATATTTTCAATTACCTATAGAATCACAGATTTTTCATCTAACTAAATGCCTCACTTTCATTGTACAACATATATTCAATTACGATTAATATTTCTTTTCAAGAAACCTAATTCCCTTGCATTCTTGATTGTCTATTTAATAACAATATATCTTTATGTAATCACTTCTCTCATTTGAATATTTTTACAAAGAATTTACCAACTGTTTATCACTATTTTCAATTATGTATAAAGCCGCCAATCATCCATCGAGTATGCTTATGTTCATTGTTCTCCTTGTACATCATGCATTCAAGCAAAAATGTTATTCCTTCATTTTTCAACAAAGTATTCTAGGGTCTCCGTTCTTTTTTCTATACTCTCAGACTTCTTTACAATGGCATCTAACTTTTCATTCCTGCTATCAGTTGCTGCTTGTAATTTCTGCATCGCTTGCATGATTGCCTCTAAGGCAATCTCCTCCTCCTCCTCCTCCTCCTCCTCCTCCTCCTCCTTTTCTTGTTGAAGCATGGACTGTATTCATCTTTGTCCTCCTGCAGGTGAGGAGACGGGGGTCCTTGTTGTAAAACCAGCAGGGGTTGTTTTTCTATTCATCTTCTGAATTTTTTCTTTTATGTTCTAGTCCAGTTAGTATCACAAAAATTTAAACATCAGTTTATGAAGATACGAGATTATAAATAAAATTAGAGGAAAAAAGAAAGAGGAAAGAGGAAAAAGTGAAGATCTCTCACTTAAAAAGAAAAGTAAAAGAACAAAAGAAAAGAGAGGAGAGAAAAAAAGTCTTCAGTCCAATTTACTCAAATTTTAAAGCAAGCCATCCATTTCTCTCCAATATCTTCAAAAGGAAAAGAGAGACAATATATATATATAT